GAAGCACATGCTGGGTTCCTTACGCCCACCCAAAGACATCCTGTGGCGTCCAGGGACTGTGAGGGACCTCCTCCTCCTTTCCATGTTTCCTTTTTCTCTGGTGCTGCAACATGCCTTTACGCTTCGTTTGTTCTGCGCTCTGCCCCCTCTTCTGGGTCCTGTTGGTCTTGCTTTTTAACAGCTGTGTTTTTGAGCTACTCGTGTTCCCATGCCGCGTCCGTGGGGTCATGTTCCACATGACTGAGACACTACAGTCCAGGGCAGGATTGAGCCCAGCACGTGGGTTACTTGCTCATACCTGGTGACCTCTCAGGTAAGGCTTACAGCTGAGAAGCCAGCCTCCGCTCTCCCCGCCACCCCTCCACAGGACTCCAGGGCTTGGCAGCGGGCGTGGGTGGGGGAAGCTCTGCAGCCCCAGCTTCTAGGAGGGGTCTGTGCTTATAAGGTCTTCAGCATGTCTGACTTCTCCTGGGCTCATTTTATTAATTAAAGAACTTACCAAATGGGCAGGAAGGTCAGAGTGATGAAGGAGGTAATTCCTTAATCCAGAACTAAGGAAGGGGAAGGTACATTATTAATAGTGTTCATCCTTCTCTCTAAAGTCGGTCAGACGCCCTTTACCTGCTGGGCACTGGCTCCCTGTGTTGTACCTTGTGTCCGGGTCACGACACATTGCTTATTAAGGAAATCCCATACGTGCCAGCTCCCTCCATCCTTACGACAGCCGAGAAGGTGAGGGTCGCATCCCCATGTTACCTTTAGGAGTTCCCCAAAGCTGTGCCCTGGGGCCTGTGACCACTCCACCATGCCCTCATTTTTCCCTCAGGTGCTAGCACCCCCAGTGGTGCTTCCCGCCACCCCCCTCTTTGTCCCAAGCTAGTTGGGTCCTACATACATCTCAACCAGCATAAAACCTCAGTTGGTGAAAGGTGGGGGTCAGGGGGAGCAGCACCGGAGGTGAATCAGGCACAACGAGCCCAGGAGTTCTGCTCACATGTCACTTTAGCTGCTGTTGTGTCAGGTGGTCTGGAGCCCTGAGGTCACAGACAGACCAAAACTGAGTGTTGTCACACAGTGCCGTGGAAGCTGCCCTTCACATGACTGTGGTAACCACCTTCCTGCTTCATCCTGAGGAATGCTCGGAGGCTGTCTGCTGTCAGCCCAGCTCTATTTGTCACTCATTCACTTGTTCATCCACACGTCCCACAAGGTTCCCCCTTAACCTTTTCACCTCTCTGCCTCTTCTTCCTCCCTGCTCAGCTCCAAGATGGCGCCCATGGCCCATCAAGCTGGCAGTGGAGTCAGATTGGATCATAGGTAGTAGGCAGAGTCTCTTCTGCCTTGAGAACGCAATAGCTTGTTGAGTTTATTGTTCATTTTTCCAAAGGATCTGAACAGCCCTGATTCCCATGATCCTTTTCAGTAGGTTCTGGAGGTGATATGAGGACAGTGGCAGTTACCTACAGAACATCTTGAAAAACACCTAAAGGATATTGTCTATTTCTGGGCCTCGTTTTGCTAAGAGATGTGGAGGGCTTATTTGTAAAGTATTGAGAGACCCTCCATAGTAGAAAAATAAGTGATATTTTTCACAGTACTGAGCTTGTGGTAAAAAATAGTTGTACTTCCTGCTGGCCCTTCAGTGGGGGAAGGAGATTTCTGGTATGATCTTCCTCAGGATAAGCATCCTTCTGATTCTTGGACCTCACCTGATCCTCAGACTCAACCTCCAGCTTTTCCAGGGCTTGCTTCCCCCGTGACCTTCTAAGATGCTGTCCTGTTCCCGTTTGTCCCGTGGTGACATGTGTGAAACATCAGTGGTTTATTTCTTCCTCTTTGCCCTTGGCCTGTCCTTGCCCCCCTGGTCTCTTCACCTAAGTGAACCAGTTTAAGAAAAGCTTTCATTTGCTAAAATGGGATTTCTCTCTCTTGAGTCGGGGCAGGGGGAAATTCCAAAGAAATTCAGAGTGAGAAAGGAGAGGAAGGTATTTCTGGGGGTGAGCAGTGTTGAGGCCAATAGTCTCACTGCCATTCAGTGTGATTGCAGAGCAGGAATTAGACCAATCTGTGATCATGATTTCCCCTCAGCTCTGCAGTTATCAGCAGGGTCATGGAGGCTGGCGGGTGGGGAGGACATCTTCACCATTTATTACAGATCCTCACTTTACAAGCAGTGGAAGCCCTTAGAAAGAGCCCTTCTTGAGATCCCCAAGATAGAATTTGACATCCTCAGGCATCCACCCCCCATCCTTCTCAAAGTTGATGTTTGTATGGACACCTCTTTAGATCGTGAGAGCTCTCTTTTCCTTTATTTTATTTTTCTTTGGCAGTAAAACCCTGGCTTTTGGAAATGTCCTGTTGGTGAATACCATAAAGAGTACTCAGAGGAAAGGGTCAGACTTGAACAATCTTTTCACAGAACAAATCAATAAATCTAAAGCTAGACGGAGAGCTGTCCAGCCAGGCCAAGGGAACACTTCACCCCGGCCAGCCTTGCTCTGCCTTTTAGGGACTCACATTCTTTATTGATTTTTTTTTTCCCAGAAATTCATTCTTGCTCATCTTTGCATGGTTAGTGAGTAGTAGAGATTCTTTTGAGGAAGAGCACATCCCAGTTTCTGGGAGCAGCAGCAGTAGGTTTACTTGAGTTCTTCTGGAAAATGGGTATTAACTCACTGGGCTCCAAGAGAGCATATTCTTCAAGGCCTACTCTCCCTGGATCCTGACCCTCCTACACTGCTCTTGCCTGGGGCTCCTGCAGCTTCTCCATCTTCTGTTCTCACACGTGACTGTTCCTGCCTAATTGCCTTATTTGGCCCCTACATTCGCCTTCACACTGAACCTAGGACTTACTCAGCCTCACATTACAGCCTGGATGGATCCCAGAGTTTCTCAACAGCAGCACAGTTGACAATTTTTTAGCCTAAAATGTCCTGTGCATTTGAGAATTTTTAGCAGCCTCCCTGGATGGTACCCACCAGATGCCAGTAGTGCCCCTTGCCTAAGTCATGATGATCAAAAATGGCTTCCCTGTGGAGCAAAATCTTCCTTAATTGAGAACCACTTTTTTTTTTACTGAAAGAAAGGTTCTTCCTCCACCTGTTTCTATCATCACAGCAGTGTCTGAAAGTAACACCCCAGTGTAAGCTAGTTTCTGTGTGTTTGCCTCACTGTTGAATCAAGTGCAGATTCCTGATTAAGACACAGTGTGCCCTGCTGACTTCTTGAAGAGCCTTTCTCAATAGTTCAGAATGGCCTGTGCATGTTGGGTGATATGAATCTCATATTCTGTCTCTGCTGACCTTGGCTTTGAAGCGCTTTGTGTTCTTCCAGGGTAAAGCATCATGGAAACATGGAGTCTGAAAGTGGAGGCTTTGTCACCCATCTGTGGGAGGCAGGACTATATGAAGAGTGAGCCTCACAGTCTGTATGGCCTCCACAGGGTCAACTCAAAGACCCCCAAACAATCTTGCCACACACAACTCTGCCACCACGCCCTGTCACTAGACGTGAAGTCTTCTTGGGTAGCCTCTTGAGATGAATAATCCCAAAAAGGAATGCAGTTATTTAGGATTTACTTTGAATTTAGGCCATGCTTTCCACCTCAACAAGTACTTAGGAGCAAGTTTTATTTGAGGAAAGAGGGTAGGAAAGGTATAATAAAACTTGATTCTCAAGAAAACCTTCTAGAAGATAGAGAAGGAAGAGAAAAGAAGAGGTGGGAAAGTACAGCCATGAAACTAATCTGGACTTATTTTTTTAAATAAAAAACAGCAAGATGTATTGAACTCTGACTCTCTGCTCAATTCTGTATGAAACTACACATTGAGCCTCAGAGCAGCCTGCGGAGAGAGGTGCAATTATTCTTCCCACTTTACAAATGAGGAAATTCGGTGGAGCCCAATTGACAGTTTACATAGGCCATTGTCTGTCAAAAGATCCGAAAGTTTCTGATGAGATTAAAATTCATGTTAACTCAGAATCAAATCATGTTGCCCTGTGGTACAACCAACAGGTTGAAGGCAATAATTAGCAACATGTTAAAAATCATTATGAGTAACACCAGTGGAACTCCCAGATTTGTTTCAGAGTGTTTTGGGGGTCCCAAAGACTTTGACATAACCCTTCTTCATGGCTGGAAAAGTGAGGGGACACCCCTTCCTCCCAACTTGAGTCAGACCCCCAAGCAATGCCTTTAGACACAGCTATGCACTGTATTTCCCAGAGATCATCATGGAGCACCTCTGCCTATAGCCTCCATTTGCAGAGTACCCTGATGGACCCTAGAGGAGAACAGTATTCAGATAGCCTCCCCAACATCCCCCTGGGCACCAGTGCAAATCCCCCAGCCCAAGACCACCTACAAATGAGTTCTGCATAGACCTGCCTGTCAATTGACCAGCTCTATCCAGATGCATAGAATTACAGCCAGGCTCAGAAGTGTATCTCCCACCATTGCCTCCACACCTACCCCATCCTACTTGAAGATTAGGGACTAGAGTTTCTATAACATCCCGGTTAGAAAGCAAAGATATACAACTTTTGTTTTATTACAAATATCATTACAAAGAACCAGATGTGGTGCAGTGAACTAACCCTCTCAGTTCAGGAGTAACTGCCTGCAGTCCCAGCCAATATCCTGGCTTTTTCAACATGGAGCCATAACTGGGGCCCTGTGTGCACAAGGTTCATGCTCATAGCTCTGCTTGCTCAGAGGGATGGAAATGAAAAAAGAGATGCTATCCCCATATTGCTACTTTTGCCAAAAGTGCATTTCTACCGAGGTTATTCATCCTGGGGGTATGCAGGGATTTACAGTTGAGTAAGTTGTTTGCTGTGCCTGGCTTCTATTACAGTAGGCCTGCAGGTTCTCTGAGATTCTTCCCGCCTAACAGTCCCAATTTCCCTGGGCCACGCTCCTCTCTACAGAGTGCTTTCAGAGAACTGCCCCCTGTGTTTTTTTCTCCCTAACCTTTTCTTTTTCTTTATTTTCTCCACAGTGTGGCAAAGGAGCAGAAAACTTTGACAAGTTCTTCACACGAGGGCAACCCGTCTTAACACCGCCAGATCAGCTGGTCATCGCGAACATAGACCAGTCTGATTTTGAAGGGTTCTCATACATCAATCCCCAGTTTGTGCACCCAATCTTGCAAAGTGCGGTATGAAACTCACCAATGACAGCAAATGCCTCCCCAGCCCTCAGCCCTCCCAGCAATGGGGAACAATTCTCAACCCTAAAATTTTAAGGCCATGGCCTTGTGTCTTATTCCACACAGAGGCCTGAAAATTGTAGGGTCATTAGTCCACATGGGGTCAACTTTTCAGGGTCTCTCTTACAACCAAGAACATTATCTTAGTAAAAGATGACATAATGTACAGTATCCAGTTTAATTATGTAGATGTCACATCAGGCTGTAGGTTAACCCTTCCTAGAAAGCAAACAGACTCTTGCCCCTTTTTTGGTACGACTTGATATGTTCTCCATACCCTCCATCTGTGGATTTTCACCATCAGGATCCCTCAACCAGAGATATTCAAGTGAACTACCCAGCCCAGTGTGTTGAAAGCATCTTTTCCTACGATGTCTTTGGGATAAAAGGATAGGGAGCCCAGAGAGTGAACAAAGAGGGATCAGGGGTGGTAGAAGCTTCAAGATACCCACCACTTTTGTTCTCTGCCTTGATGGAAACAGTCCCTAGAATCTGAGAGGCCAGGATGAACCTTATCATTGTTCCCAAACGTCATGACCCAATTATGGTCCAGCTGTTTAAAAAAGAAAGACAACTTCAGATGAGTGTTGGGTGAATCTGTCATCCATTACCCAGTTGGTTGATAACTGTCTTGATACTTGCATTCTTCTTAAGAGGCCAAATCATCTAAGGACTTTGCTAAACAAGCATGTGAAATCATGTCAGATCAAGGATAAACCAGTGTGTATGTATGCTCATTTTAATCTCTGGGAGATTGTTCTTCAATCCAGGGTGCCATCAATAACCATGCCACTACTCATGAGTGTTGTTAGCCAACCCCCTCCACCAATATTTTGCTACCTATGTTGTCACCCTTCCTAAGAAGCTGAAGTATATGCCCCATCCCCTTTTGTACTTATTTATTTAATAGGCTGCTGTGTCATTTAAGAAAGTACGATGTATAGTAACTTAATCAAGACTTGATTCTAGAATCAATCCCTACTTGTTGGTTTTCCTGCCTTCTCTAGCCCTAGACATTCACTTAGGGATGAAAACCAATATGGTTTGGGTTCCCACTTCCTATTGAGCGACACACCTGGAGCTATAGAATCAGGATGCCTGGATGCTTATCAGCTCAAAGATGTTTTCTTGCTAGAAGGTTTTTAGTATGTTTTGCAAATGCATCATGCAATGGATTTGCATGTTTATAATAAACCTTAATAACAAGTGAATTATATTATTGATATAATCTTATCAACTATAAAGAGTATTACAATAATTTTATAAGACACAATTGTGCTATATTTGTGAAGGGTCATGTTTCTAATCTGCTAATTTTATGATTAAGTTTTAGCTGAATTCTTTGATGCTGTGCTTCCTCTCCCCTCCCACCCCTGCACATTGGCACTGTATCAGATATATTAATTTTTTAATATAGATCTAATTTCAAAAATGAATGGCTAACTTTACATGTTTAATTAGGCTTTTACTATGTATGTGTATATATTTATATATATATATCTATATATATGTATATTTGATTCTACCTGCAAACCAAAGTTTTGTTTGTGGGATTATTTTTGAGATGAGACTCTGTCTTAGCTTCCTAATGTCATCTTCTGTTCAGGTACTCCCACCACTCTTCCTCTTGGGGATAGCACAAAATGTTTGAATCCAGGATGTCTAGTATGTTTGTGTACATGTGGCATTATGGCATTGTCACAGTACCTGGACTGACTGTGTGTATGTGTGTGTGTGTGTGTCTGTCTGTTTGTCTGTGTGTGTGTGTGTGTGTGTGTGTGTGTGTGTGGTTCTTCCTCTCTGCCTGTGATTGTTGGAGACTCTGGGCTGGAGGGAGAGGAGGCCCCATTCTTGCTGCATATCTGGCCACAGCAAAGCTGCTCCCCTCATTTGCTGCCCCACTGTTTGCTTCAGCACATATAAAACTTCATGAGACAAACCAGGTATCAGCTCCTGAGCACAGCCATCCCCTGAAGCTACCACCAGACACTTTTCATAGGCTGCACATTTTCTTCCAGCTGTTGCTAGAATTGGCCATTCAGATCTTGTGCACCTCTCTGGCTTGACACTCTCCTCATGCAAGGTCCTCAGGAAAGCCAGCCTTCTGCAGCATAAATGACAGGTCAAATGGAAGTAGGTATTGGTCTTTATAGGAAACTGCTGTCCGAAGCATTTCTCAGCTGAGCTCCCTCATTTTTACTCTCTGGCTGTTCACACAACATATAACCCCTGAGGGTCTTTGAGGTGAGAGGCCTGAGCTCTGTTAGAAACCCTGATTAGAGGGAGAGATGAAGTAGGGAGTGGGCTAGACCATAAAATAGCAGTTTCTTTTGCCATCTTTTATGAATTCCAGACTTCAAAACTCAGAAGGGTCCTAGCTCACTGATCCCTGAAGCCCTGCTCATCGGGGCATATTTTGGGACATGTCCTCATCAAGGCACCACACTTAGTCCAGTGGAAAAGGAACTGGTTCATAGAAAGCCTAGGAGAAGACAGGTACAGTGTAATCCCAGTGACTTGGAAGACTGAGGCAGAAGGATCACAATTTTGAGGTCAACCTAAGAAACTTAGCAAGACCCCATCTCAAAAAGAGCTGGGGATGTAGCTCAGTGGTAGAGCGCCCGTGGGTCCAATACCCAGTATCAAAAGTTGGGGGAAGCCTAGGAGACAAATGGATGGTCTCCCCTGTCCCAGGTGGAATAGGAACAGGGTTGGTCCCCACCCAAGACATGGAAAGGAGCACTAGGTCATGGACCATCAACCCAGTGTGCCAAGCTGCCTGCTTATTGTAAGCAAGCAGAAAGCTAGGGCTCTCCCTCATGTGATTCTAGCAATTCCTACTTCTCTAGGAAACATACTCAAACTCTCAGTGGCCTCTGTCCTTAAGGAATGTGTGACCATTTTCAAAGAGAGAACCCTAAGCATGGTCCAGCATGCTGCCTAAGGGACAGCAGATTAGGAAGGACCTGGGGGCAGAAAATGGTAAAAATTAGGGCTGAAGCAGAACTCATGGTGTGGCCTGTTTTGTGTGTGCTGAACCTAGATAAAGGCCAATGCTTTCAGGATCTGAGCAGTCCAGGACAGTGATTGCTGAAAGACTAACTCATGTGGATAGCTACTAATAACTGTTGGGGACTCTAGGAAGAACCTGCCCCTGAGCACTTGCTGGCCTATAGAGGAGAATCTAGCACAAAAGATGTCTCTGCAGGATCGTCATGCTGAGACCCCAAAAGGCCATTCAGATCGCTTTGCTTTCTCTTCCCTTGGAAGGTGGCCGCTGATCAGTGGCAGAACTTTCCTGCAGCTGCAGGCCAGTGGGCTGGCAGCCCTGCTTTTGGCACCATGTCGGAACTGACCCAGTGCTTGGTTTGAGTGGAAGGAGCTGGACTATGCTGCCAGGTGCAGCCCTCGGAGGTCAATGGGAGGCCCACCTCCAGGCAGGAACTAATTCAAAAGGTAGATGGGAAACCCAGGAACCCAAACGATTGTACCCCACCGCCTCCTCCTTGGTCCCTGTGGCCTCGTTTGAGCTGTGCAGACTCACTGTCTGCCTTGGCTGATGGGATGCATTAGGCTTTTCTATGAGGATTTGCAGTAGAAAAGCAGGTGGTGGAGAGCTCTCTGGAAGCCTGGCCTGAGATGGTTGGTTGAAAGATTATCATAGACAGAGACTGACACAACCTGGCCAAGGATGGTCGGTCACCTCAGAGCTAGAGTTCTCAGCCAGAGTGAGGGTGCTGACCCCAAGAAAGTCACCCACTGACGTGACCTGGAGAGAACAGAGGGGTTGCTGGAGGCCGGAGTCGGCAAGGGGTTGGGGGAGAGCAGGGTTTGAGGGCCTCGGGGAGGAGGCGTGCTGTTAGAGCAGAGGAGCTGCCGCAGAGGCGTCGGTTCAGACGGGAGTCTCTCTGCTGGTCTCTGAGAGTGTGTTCTTTGCCAGGGACCCATTTCGTTCCTTCTCAGAAAACAGCCCCTGAATGCCCAGGACATCCTCACCAGCCACAAGAGGCCCCTTTCCGCTCGACCTTGGGCCGGCCCAGCTGTCTGAGCAGAGCCAGGCCACGCCAACCCTGGAGACCAGCAGGTTCCGTCCTTCTCCCTCTGTGGCTTCCTACTGAGCCTCATGGCAGCTGAGGCAGCTGACACCACAGTTGCCACCTGCTTCCACTTAGCAGGGGAAACAGGAGGCTTCCTATTTTTTTTTTTTTTTGTTTGTTTGTTTTGTTTTGTTTTTTGGAGGGGAGGTGTTTTCTCAGTGCTAAAGTGGGGGGAAGTGAGAGTCTTGTGTTTTTGAAACCTCAGGAAGGCAACACCATCTGACAGTCATTTTCTCACTTTGCTCTCGTGAAGTTGTCTTTCCCTGGTGTGTGCACATCACACCGTCTCCAGCTCCTTCATCACCTCCAAGAGCAGGGCGCTGCTGCCCCTGGGCATGCCAGCCATGCTCCTGAAATGGATGGCGAGCCAGGGGCCGGGAAGGACGGTGACCGGGAGAGTTGGTGACAGCCATGGCAGTGATGAGGGAGGAGAAGGGCACCCTGGTCATTAGTGGCTACACACAAATCCGACAAGGAGGGTCAGAAAGATTTTCCTTTTTTTAAATCATTTTCCTCAAGCCGCTTGGGCCAGGGTTTATGAAATACACAGGACAGCCCCCATTCCCATCGTGTCCCCTTGGGGCCAACACAGAAAATCTAGGGGATGCTGTGTATTTCTGCTGTAGGAAAAATCCAGGAAATTGGAAAAGGTTCCCTGAGTTGTACGTGAATGAGGCAGTCATCTGGAAACAGAGCCAACTCCAAACCTCTTGATTCTATGATGTCAGGGTTGTTGAGGAAGGACGAAATTGTGCTGGATTCTGTCCCTTATGCCTGCCATTGGTGTGATCAGGTGTCATTTAAGAACTGGAAGTTGCACACAGTCATCAACAGCCTTACAATGACCCTACACTAAAGCCCACAATTTCCAAAGACTTTTTTTAACCTGAAGGAAGAAATGAATTTGTTAATTCCAACAGGATAACTGAATATACTGGGCTCTTTGTACTTTTTTATAATGAATTTTAATAACTCAACTCTTCTTTTAAAATGAGTTTTTAAAATAAAGCTACTAACAATTTCAAAAAAAAATTCAAATTGGAGTCTGTAGGAAGACTCAACCCAGGTCAGATAGAGCACCCCTGACCTGCATTCCCACTGTAGGATTTTCCCATGCTGGTGGGTATGAAGTCTGCAAGTTCAGGTGGAACTTGTGGCAGGCTGATGCTGTTCTTAATCGATACTGGGGACAACTGCCTAAGGTTTAGATATTTTTGAACTGTAGGAAAGATGTCTTATTGACCCCATCCAGATGCAGCCCTGGGATATCATTCCTGGGGTCTCTGGGACCCCTTTGCTTGCTCTTTGAGGCTCAGTGACTATATTTTAGCAGGAGCAGGGGGACACTTTCTCAGCTCTATCCCCAGTCCCCTCTGGTCCCCGGTCTCTCGTGTTTGGTGAAAACTCAGAGATTCCCTGCAATGGTTTGCCCATTGGGCAATTCAGAAAAACTTTTATATCACAAGGAATAAGAGGCAGCAGCAAATGTGCCCACTAGCCTATTTTCACAGTTATTGCATCTGTGAATAGACAGAACCCCACTTTTCACAAAATAGGTATCCAGTCCACTTTATAAGAATCTCTTTTTCTAAAATGAAACAAAAGGTGGCTTTGCATTTTCTGATTAAACAACCATGTCTTTGCTTAACTTTAGGAATATCAATGCCTGTGATTGTAGCTTCTTATTGATTTTCTTTCTGGAAGAATGTGATTCTCTTCTTGAGGGGCTTTATTGGACTAATCCAAACTGTACATGAAGGCAGTTACTATTTTGAGGCTACAGGTTTTCTAAAAAAAAAAAAATAACCTCATATTCTTACTATTAGGGTCTTTCAGAATCTTTTATAGATGGTCGGAAACATTTGAAATTGCTTTTCCTACATGATTTGTGTGCGTGCGCGCGTGTGTGAAGGCCATGCCCTGTGTAAATCATTAATTGAAAAAAACATTGTCTGAGACCCCAAATTTGTAGGGAGGAAGAAATGGAGGTTGAGGGTTTTCCTTCTTCGTTAAGCACCTTCTGACAGAATACAGAGGCCGTTCGGCTGTCGACTAGCGTTTGGTTCCGAGTAGCGTTTGGTTCTACCGCAGGTGAAGTGGATGTATAAATTATTGCATTGCTCTCCTTGACTCGTATAACCTCTAATCTTTGTTTGCATGACATGCTTTGTTAGATACATTAATTGTAGTTTGG